ACAAGATACAACATACCATTACAAGGTAAAATATTTATAATTGTTCATATGTAGAATAACTATCTTAAAATTTGTGTTAAGGTTGTTGGATTGAATCTGCATTAATGCGTTTACTGCTATTTGGCGTTCCATTAGCCATCATTCTAATTATTAATTTTATATTTTATGCACTAACAGTGAGAAATATTCGTCGTAATTTAAAAAAGGGTATCTATTATTTGACAATTGTGAATAAATTGATTGATAATTAATTTTTGTTTACTGTTGTTTTAGTGCGAGTACAAGTACAACGAAAATTCAAAAATAAAAAACAAATTGTACCCGGTGAACATGATGTTAAGATCTATACTCGCATGATGGCTATTACTGGATTCGGTTGGACAATCGGATTTATAAATTGGGCCCTACCCGATAATCAAAAAGGTTTTATTGACATGTTATCAGTCATATTTCAATATTTGTATATCTTGTTAAATGCGACAACGGGTATATTTATATTTGCCGTATTCGTATGTAATCGACGTGTACTACTTTTATATTATCGTCTAATACAAAAATCATCACAAATAATTGCATCATTTTTCAAAGAAAGAATGAACAATTTATCTTTATGTTGGAAACAAATGGGAAATGAAATTTGTTTCAGACAACAACAAGATAATCAATGTCCTCAAAGAGAAATTATTCAACAAAACAACAATTTACAAAATGCCACTCATACACACTTGCTTGCACAAAAAAGTGTTGGATCAACGGCAACATATCGGACTTGGTTATCGTCACAAAATAGTCTACTAAGTGCAGACGTGATAGACTTTAGTCGAACAAATTCGGAAAAAAATTTACAATCTCTACCTATGTCTCAAATGGTAGTCGTTCACGAGTTTCACTTATATATAATGAAAATCCTTTATGAAATGTTTGCCATAAATCAAATGCCATTACATTCATCCAAAAAAAACTTGCTAGAAAAAAATAATGTGTTCCCAATGCCATTAGAAGACAAATAGACGGTCTTGTTGTTAACAGTATACTTTGAACGAGAAATAAAATTTCAGCTAATATCAATGCTAATGTTAGATTAATTGTATTCCATCCAGGCAAATTTCTGAGTACAGAAAATAGATAATATGTAAGTAATGTTGACGTTAATGCAAATATCGATAATAATGTAGCTACCATTGTAACAAAACCGGGTGCTTTTTCAGAAATACTTATAGTAGCCGATGTTTTTGCTGTATATTTACAAACATTAATATATAAATCGTGCATGTATGGATCATATTGGTATTCACGATTTGTAAACAATTTGCCTGTACGACGATTTTTAATTGTTCTATTTATAAATTTGTCAAATTCACACCAAGCAATACGCATTACCTAATTTAAATTTTAAATAAAGAAAATAACTTTTATAATTAATAATATACAATAATATAGTTACTTGATTATCAGGACAAGCTTGAACTATTTTAGGTGCACGATTACAAACTTGAAAAAATTTCACAACTTCATCGGATTGAGTATTTCCTGTTGTTTTGCTTGATGTTGTTGTCATTTTTACTGTTGTTGTTGTTATCGTTTTTACATATTGTATTTGAGATCTTAAACGAGATATTACCGATTCTGATTCATGTTGAATACTCGACATATGTGATTGCATGTGCAATAATAATGATCCATAATCTGATGATGATAACTAAAACCAACATTATAAATAAAAATGAATAAAATCTTAATGGTATAAAAAAGAAACATAATAGAAAAAAAATATATGACTCACTGCTGAAACAAAGACTTCTTCAAGTTTTTGGTTCAATATTTCCGAATTACGTTTTGTCTGATAGTTTTTATTTCCATGATTAGTATGTGATGGTTGAGTACCATCAGCAGAAACAAGAAAAACTAAATTATAGTCTCCAAGAGTATAATTTGTCTCCAATTCTGGAACGTAAACATAATATTCAACTTCACCACTCGTTCCTTGACGAACATTTAACGTTGCAGTATTAGTAGGATAAACATGATCGGGTTCTGGACACCATTCCGTTGTTGTTTTATTTTTATCAGATAATATTGATAATGTTTCAACGTTTGATGTATAATTTTGACACAAAGATATTTCTAATCGATGTTCACTAGCAATTAACAATTCATTGACAACTTGTAAATTATCTTTTTTATCATCTGTTTCATTACGATCTTTAACAGTAAAATAAAAGTTCACCGTAGCTACTGGTTTTTTAATTAATTCATTATTAATTTCATTTTTAAACAATGATGAACGTTGTTCTCGAATGTCTGACAAATTTGTATTTTGATCAACATAACTATTATATCGTTTTGGTCTATTTTCCTTTATTTCAGAATTACTCGTTATATTATTTCGATCAATTTCATATCTAAGTTTTGTTATTCTATCATGATCAATGTTTAAATAGTCTAAAAACATTAAAAATAATAACTACAAACATTAACTCAAAGGTGGATAACGAATAGAGATATATACTGTTGACAAAAATTATAGAGATGCTGTATTTTTGAAATTTTTTGATAAAACTGAGCATTTATGTCAAATCTGAATAGTGATTTAGATAACCCTTGAAATTCTCTATCAAATGCAGTATGTGTCAAAAGTTCAGAAAAAAAGATTTTGAAGAAGTTTTCTAGAAAACCGTTCTAACAGAGCTCTAAGTCCTAGAGAATTTTACTAAAAATATTTTCAATTTAGCCATCTAAAAGAGCATAAAATTCTGAATAAAATGAGGAGTCACTCGGCTCTTCACGATCTTTCGTTGCAAAGTTTCAGTCATCAGAAAAATCCAAAGAAATGTGCTCCTGCTGGTTTTTTAGTCGGTTTTTAGAGTTTTTTTTCGTAAATTATACTATTTCTTCGTTATTTCTGATGCCTGTAACTTTGCAACAAAAGATCGTGAAGAGCCGAGCGACTATTGAGTTTGTTCAAAATTTTATGCTCTTTTAGATGGCTAAATTGAAAATATTTTTAGTAAAATTCTCTAGGACTTAGAGCTCTGCTAAAACGGTTTTCTAGAAAACTTTCTTCGCAACCTTTTTTTCTGAACTTTTGACACGTGCTGCATTTGATAGAGAACTTCAAGCGCTATTCAAGCCACTATTCAAATTTGACATAAATGCTCATCTTCATCAAAAAATTTCAAAAATACAGCAGCTCTATAATTTTTGTCAGTACTGTACCTGCTATAGAATCATGAAATAGGCTAATCCAATCTCCACATGTTTTATTATTTTGTTTTATTGTCGGTTTCACAAACAGAAATTGTCCTACAATATTCGTATCATCGATGTCGACTTCCATCTTTTGTTCTGGTAATGATGATGAATTTTCTGCCGAATGAATGATTAATGTTAGCGATAAATCAATATCACTCATTCGTTTAAAATCGTTTTCGTTCGTATTATTATCCATTACACAACCGGTACCATTTAAAATAGAATTTTGTTGACAAAATAATTCTCGACAAACACCCGTACTAGGTTCAAATATTTGTCCATATTTACATAAACCATTGTCACGATAAACAATTTGATTACCTTTAAATTGAAAAAAGAAGAAGAAGAAAATAATATCCATGTGATTAATAAAAGTATTTTTTATTCAAACCTTGCATAATTACAAAGGCTGTTGTTCCATCATCTTTAAAATTCATCAATAACAAAAGAGATTGGGGAGCAGCACGTTTCATACTACCAATATTTTTTTTCTTCGTATTTACACGTTTTTTAATATGTTCATTGGACGATCGTTTTATTGATACAAATGTATTATGTGCATTATCATATTCATCCTAGAAATAATTATGAATATTTTTCTATTTATACAACATTATTTGTTTATATTGTTCGTTCTTCAACTCACTTGTGTGAATATATCAAATAAATTAGATTTTGCCGTATTCATTTTATCATCATTGTCTAGTAATTGTAATTCATAATCATTATCTGACGTAGTGAACCAATAATCATTGATATTCGAAATTTCAAGTGTTTGGTGTGAGATAGAGGATACTGATTCAAAATTTTCTATTATAGATAAATTTGAATTTAATTGTTCACTTTGATTCAAATCAAATGTTAACGTTATTTCAATATTTATCAACAAAACTATACACAATATAATAGTAAAAATGAACCATCTTTTAATCAGTGGAACAATTGCTGATATAATTATCATCTTTTTTTTTTTTGTTTACTAATTTTTGTTATTTTTACATTCTATTTATAGAGATTCATTACCAAATTACTATATTTATTATTATTGGTAAAGCATAAACAAATTATCTCGCCTACAGCACACTTTTTTAAAAACTACTTGACTAAAATCATGGATTTTTAATATTTTTGTATCAGGAAACCGAATTACAGATGGGGTTTTTTCTCATGATTCGAGTTTTTTTTTTTTTTTTATCTCAATATACACATATTCATTTTTAAACTAAAGATTTGATCATACATATATTAGATGAAACTTTTTTATTTGACAAATATATTTTGCTTTAGTTTATGATACAGTCTAACCAAAAATCGAATGTCATACATTTCTCGTTATTTGACAAATACTAATTATTAAATATTACTCGACTGATTGATATACCAGATGTTTTCATGAAAATATGATGATGAAATAAAATGAAAAAAGTTTTTTTTTTAAAATATTTTGAATTTTTCAAAATATTTTTTTCAGACAAATCTAAAGTGACTATTCGTAGCAGAATGGATGTCCATCGTTCTTCTTCCACAGACATGACAGGTATTAATACACTTTAACATATGTTATAATCATTTGTACATGTCACGTATGTTTTTTATTTTATCCTATTTTCAATTTAATAGATGTTTTACTTGACAAATGTTACTGATATTCGATTGATGATAATAAATTGTACTACTAACAATTACTTAAATAGTGATGCACCATATTTATTATAAAAAAAAAAGAAAACGTATTATTAATTTCTTTTTTCCTTTTTAAGATTGTCTGTAACGCTATTAAACTTTATGTAGGTATCATTTGGCGATTGGTTTATTTCTAATATACATCGTTCTCTCTTTCGATCAATATATATATATATATATTTCTTTTCATGCATTTTAATTTCAAAGAATAGAGATGATGTTCCAATCTAAAAGTAATAAACATGTCAAGTGTGAATCTATTGTTTAGTCGTTAATTGAATGCCTACAGGTAATGCGTTAAATAAAAAAAACAGCACAATATTAAAAAAAAAAAAAAAAAAAAAAAATTTTTTTTTTTTTTTTTTTTTTAATTTAAGAAAAAAAAAGCATTTAAACCCATATAATTGAAGATTTTTTGGGTGTTCAAGTTTGTTTAAAAATTTTGTTATTACCATTTAAAATTG